GACTGGGGTGTGCTGATGGGGCGGGGATTGATCCCTCCTCCCCTTGAGCCTGTTTGACTCTGCGTGCTGATGGGACTGTATGTGTATGAGTATCACGGACACACAGACGAGTGTTACGGTTAATGACAGTTTCTCCCCATATGTTGGGTTACCATTGGCAGCAGACGCATTCGATGATGTGTTAGAAGCGCCAGCCCCATTACGAGCAGCAGCCGATGTCTGCAATTCATACCCACAGACAGCCGTCAGTTGTGCATGTGGTGGTTCTTTTCTCGCTTGCCTCACCGTGAGCAACCCTGTCAGCCATCGCCAGGTATTGGACATGCCGGCGAAGCATCCCGGGGATCGGTCTATCTCGCTGCATAAGAGATTGAGAGCAGCAGACCTCTGTGATTCTATAGATCTGCCACAAACACACAGACATCACACACTGTTACTGATGCCAGTAGGCCCTCCTGCTAGCCCTCTCTTACCTCAATGCGTCAGATCAGACAGATGGGCGGCGCCATCTGTGTGGATCGATGACATCACGACAGCTCTTTGGCTCCTCTACAACGCCCCTTGTCGCAAGAGAGAGCGGAGAGAGGTTTCCAAGCTCGCAGACGGAGGGGTCAAGGCGTTTACTGGAGGGTAAGCGGATGTCAGACGGGAAGAAGCTCAAATACGCTCCAAACAGCGGTGTTCTTCGTGTGTTTGTGTGCCTTCAGATCTCTCGTTCGTCACGTTCATCGACAGCCACGACGTTCGTCATGTAGCAGATGAGCCATTGCATCAATCAGCCGGTGATGTCCATTGGTGGTCGTCGGCATCTGCTGACTGACTTGTGGTGACTGATTGATGGCGTCCTCCGTGCCTTTTGAGGTGTGGCGTGGGCGGCTGGTGGCGTGCCTGCAGCTGCCTGATGTGGCCTCTCTCCGCAACACCTCCCGCACCATCGGCACGTCCATCATCACGGCCGCTCTGCTGGTCGAGCGCATTGACGGCTGCCTCGCCCGCCACTCACTCACCGGCCTCATCGACATGCACCGCACCGCCCCTCTCCCATTCACCTATGTGCTGCGGGTGGCCTATGTGCTGGAGCAGGGCACCGATGAGAGGCGTCGGATAGGGTGGTTCATCCGCCTGGCCGCCATCTATGGTCTCACGCCTGCCAGTGGGCTGCCCCTGGTGCTGTCGGCTCAGTGGCTGATGGCCCACCTGCCCAGCAAGACGGCTTTCCACCAGCTGCCCGACGCCATGGCCATCTATCGGCTGCTCGGCCACCTGCTGACATACCAAGGGACCAGCCTGGCGCTGCAGCAAGCCGACAATGGGGGCTATCGGATTGGCAATGAGTCGTTTCGTGTGGTGCCATTTGGTGATCTGCCGGGCGGCCATCGCTATGCTGACGGCTACAAGCGGACCGACCCCGCCATTCGCTGGGTCGACAACTGGCTCTACCCCTGCAATCATCGGCCGTGATGACCCTCTCTATGGCCGTCTGCTGACTGAGGGCATCACAGAGGATCAGGGCATCGCTGTACACTGGCGCTTGGACCTGGGCGATCTGAATTATGCAAAGGCGGTTGATGATCGTCATGTGATTGTCAGCGGCTTCAGACCCAACGACACCGTCGCCGCCTTTTTGTGGGTGGCGTCAGGGCGCATCAGTCTGCACACGACCGAGCCATGTGCTGCCGATGCGCCGGCTCCACTCGGTGTGTGCTTTCCCGTGTCGGAGCCCCTGTGGCGCCGTGTGCTGCGGCCATTCGGCGTCGAGCGTGAGGTCATCGATGGGGGGATGGTGCTGGTGTGAGGGGTGAGTGCTGTAAGCCGGGTGGCGATTGGGTGGTGTTGGTGGATTGGATAGGCTGAGAGGGTCTGTCTGTGTGAGCAGTGGTGGAATGAGACTAAGTGGGTTTGAATGGGCGACGTGACTAATTGTGTGTGCCATGGGCGGGTGGATGCCATACTCATCCATGACAGACTCAGCCCAATTTACGGGCAACTGAAAATCCCTTGAGTGGTTTGGTGTGATTGGGCGGCCCGACACACACAGATGGACTCGATGCGCATGCGTTGACGTTCACGGAAGTCACTTCATACACACACACACACTGGTCAATTGCCCATCCATCCATCCATCCAGCAATAGACCAGCTTCACGAAACAATGGCTCAAGCGTCCCCCATTCCCACACATGTACGGCCCGCCATTCACAATCTCTCGTCGCCAAGATCAAGGTACCAACCAGTACGACGGAAGAAAGGCATCAATGCATTGCAATGCAGCGAACCAAAAAGAGTTCTGTGTGGAGGGAGGATACACCTACCTGCCTGCCTCCACACATTCAATCTACTCTACTATCGACACACACCGCCACACAAACACGGATGGATATTCACTGGATGGACAGACCGAGACGCCTATTTCGTCTCGTCATTTCTCGCCGCCTCACTCACCGCCCCGCCTCAATCAGTCAATGGCCACCACTTACCCACCCACATAACACATAACAAATAGGAGAGACAGTCAAGCAAGTAACCTAACCCACGAACAGCCACCTAAAACCGGCCAGAGAGACGGGAAGGTGTTCCCGGGGTGACAGTATGAGGTCTGCGCTCTCGCCGACCTCCTGTGTGGTCACTCAGACTGCACGTCTGAGTGCCCTCCTCCTCTGTGCGACGAACGGCCGCCAGTTCGTTATGGCGCCAAACGCCACCAGCGAAGTGCCATCCGCCTCGTTCTTGGGCACCAAGGAGACGTAGAAGTCATCGCCCTCCTCTAGCCGCCTCAGAAACCCCACTTGCATCCAATCAGACTCGGCCGTTGGGCGGATTCTGCCGGGGCCAGAGAGCCTCTCGCCCTGGTGCTCAATTCGCACCAGAAGGTCAAACGCCAAAGGGTTGCCCACAACGAGCTGCAGGGCGTTGTTCGGCATGACCTTGAGGTTGACCATCGCCACATCTTGCTGTTGAGCGTCGAGGGTGTGTTTGAGATCGTTCTTGTCTGTCTGGCGGAACACCTCTGTGCCATTCGCCGCCTCAAAGATGAAGGTCAGCTCATTGCTCGCACCGAAAGGCGTCTGTCTGGTGAGCGAGTCGTCCTGTGCGATGGTGGCGGATGACACCTGGGTGTTGTACTCATCGAGCGTCGTCAGAGAGACGCTGCCGGACCCGTAATTCTACAACGATAACACACACGAGTACAGCACAGCACGGCAGAGCACATCCACTCGTGTGTTGTGCCAGCTGCCTGACGGACCAGCACAGACAGGTAGGTCTTGCCCTGTTCCACAACGCCCACCACAATGAGATACGGCAGCGAGTCCGCCGTGGCCGGCTTCACAGCCTGTGTGGACAGGGCACACACACCAGACTGTTCTGTTCAGGGCCAGATCTACGCCTTTGCTGAACTGTGGTACCGAGTTTGAGGATACTGTGGTGGGCTGGGCAGCAGCAGTAGGCAGCCTGACGACCATACCCAGAAGGCTCAAGGCAACGAACAGCGGGGGCGTCATTTCTCTCTCTGACAGCACACGTCAGGACGGCAGACACATGCTTGGTTGGTTGGTTAGTGTGTTTAACAAGACTCGTGTCTGTAACCCCGGAGGGATCCTGTTGTCCCACGCACTAAACTAGCAGCATGTACATGCAAAGCATGCATACGGCCTGTCTACGCCTCCCTGCACTGGCACCGGCGTAGAACGTTGACAAACACCGATTCCGGCTACATACACAAGAACGGGCGCTGTCGCCCAGCAAGACCCATGGCAAGTGTACAGAAGCCAGAAGGGGGAAGTGGAAAAATGAGCGCTCTCTGAGCCACCAAAGCAACGATC